AAACTGTGGAGTGTTCATCAGGCCAAACCATTAAAAGGCAGGTAGATGGGCAGTATCTGAAATCAGTGCTTCTCCACTCAGAACAACTTACAAAATCTGACACTTACTAGACAGAAAATCCACGAGATATGGTATATAGCAATCTATTTGTGTGTGTGTGTGTGTGTGGTCATCTCTGTCTGTGGCTCTGCCCATGAGCAAGGGAGGTAGGTATAACCTACTCCAGCTGACTTGCCTGCCTTCTCTTGCTTCACTGAGTAGCTTGTCTGAGCTGTGGTCACCATCCTGGGGACCCATTGTCTTTTGTACTGGCATGTAGTTTCGTCTACTCCAAGGCATCCTGGATTAATAGTGAAATCTTAGAGCATCGAGCCTTCTCAGGTTGGCTTCTTCTACTTAATATGCACTGGAGGTTCCACTGTGCCTTTTGTGAGTGGATAGCTCGTTTCTCTTTTATCCTTGAATGATACTGTATCAAAAGCCTGTAGTAGGATTCATTATCCTTTCTCCTTCTGGAGGTCATCATTGCTTTAGTATTTGGCAGTCATGAATCAAGCTGCCATAGACACTTGGGCACAATAGATGCAAACTTTCGGTTGGTTTGAGTAAATACCTGGAAGCCTGATCACGAGGGTGATGTGGTAAGAATATAATTAGGTTTTTCAGAAGCTTCGGGCTGTCTTCCAGAATGCATGGACCATCTGCCTCGTTTTGCCAGCAATAGCAGAGGTCCGGCTGCTCCACAGCCTTCATTTTGGTTTTATCAGACTTGGAGATTTTAGGCATCTTAGAGGTGTGCAGTAGTTTGTCATTGTTTTAATGCTAATTCTCTAATGACATGATGGTGACTTTATTTACTTATTTATTTGACATCTGTGCATCTTCTTTGGGGAAATGTCTACTTAGATGTTTTTGTCCATTTTAAATTGCTTCTTTCTTTTTCTCTATTTCTTTAGTTTTAAGAGACTTTCGTATAATTTGGATACAAATCCTTAATTGGGTATTTTTAAAATACTGTCCCAGTACACAGCGTTTCTTTTTGCTTAACATTGTCACTGGCAATATCACTTTTACTTTTAATAAAATACTACATTTTTTTCTTTTATGTCATGCTTTCAGCTTTGTCTTTGAAAGGCTGTCACTGAGCCACGTCACCTCCGACCTGTCACCTTCTGAAAGGACTGCAGTTGTGCATCCCACATCGAGGTCTATGGTCCACTTTGAAAGAATGTTTTTCTGGAGAATGGAAGGTCTGAGTTTACTTTTTAGAGAATGGGTCTTCAGTTGTTTCCACATCCTTTGTCTCATTAGCATCTCATTGTACTAATATCTACTAACTCATCTTCCAGTTCCTTCTGCCTTTTTTCAGCTCCATTTACACTGGTATAGAATCCTAACACGATTTTCCAACTTAGGCTTTGGACTTTTCAAACTGAGAATTTTTAGTGGGTTATTGGTTTCTTGAGTTATAGCATCCATTCCTTGCTAACTTTTTTTCAATCTGATTTTTTTTTTTTTTAAATCTCCTTAAACATAACAAGTACATTTAAAGTTTGGTCCGGACAATGTGATATCAGAAGCATTTGTAGGTCTATTTTTTTTAACCTTTATTTCTGCTGGTTCTTATTATCTTGTATATACCTTCTTTATCTCTAATGTGTTTCACCTTGAGTTTTGCTTTGTGTTGCTATGGATCAAACCTGGGACCTTGTGCATGGCAGGTTAGTGTTCTGCCGCTGAGATACGCAGTGTTGGACACTATGTTCTTAAAGGTGGCTGTGGAATCCTTCCAGACATGGATTTACATCTGTTTCCTCCTGTAGATTCTAGTCACCTGAATTCTGGGTTTGCTTTCATATGACTCCAGTCCTTGAGATTTCTTGGGTCATGCAGTGACCTGGTGTGCGATTTGTTTGTTTTAGTTATTGGTTTTTGTTAGTTCATTTGTTTCTGAGACAGGGTCAGGGTCTCACCATGTAGCTCTGGCTGGTCTTGACTGGCAATTTGTGGCAGTCTTCCTACCTTTGTCTCCTGAGTACTGGCATTACAGACCTTCATTTTGTCTTGCTAACTCATCGTCTCACTGTGTTGCCCAGGTTGGCTTGCCTCAGCTTCCTGAGTGTTGGGATTACAGAGAAGCACCACCTCACTGTAACACTTAGACCTGACAGCAATCCACCTGAGAGCTGATTCCTTTTTGTTTTACCTTCACATGCCCCCAAGGCCTGCTCTCAACCCCATATGTTGACTCCATTACAGGGAGTTTAATAAGGATTTCAGCTCTGGCAGAGTGAATGGGCCCCTACACCTTGTTCTGCCCCATAAAGCTGCCAGCAACCTTGCCCTACTTAGAAGCTGTTTCTACTTGAGTGCAGCACGTGAAACACTAGATTTCTCTCTCTAAGTTTGCAGGTCCTTTTGGACATTTGTCTAGTAATCCCTCACTCACCCTGATATATCTCGAGCCTCTTTAAGCACGGGCCTAAAGAACTGTAATGGCATTTATGCATCTGTGTATGTGTGCATGCAGAGGGGAGGATGAATGCCATGTGTATGGATGTCGGAGGACAATGTTTGGGAGTCCAGTTTCTCCTTCCACAACCTGGGTGGGTCCTGGGGCTTGAATTTAGGTGAGCATCCTAAGCATAGGTTGAAGTGTTTTCAAGACAGGGTTTCTCTGTGTAGCTCTTGCTGTCCTGAAACTCGCTCTGGAGACCAGGCTGGCCTTGAACTCACAGAGATCCACCTGCCTTTGCCTCCGGAGTGCTGGGATTAAAGGCATGTACCACTACTGCTTGGCAAAAATATATTCTTTAACTTGATGGTTTACTATTAATTTTAGTTTTGAGAATTTCATGACTAGTCTTGGAAATGATCTTTAGCACCCCGCTAGGTATACAGGCCAGAACACAACCAGAATGTCCTGTGTGTGAAGTAGTAGTGACTGTTAAAAGTGTTTCTGTGCCTTGTCAACTTCCATGCTTTTCCTTCAGGAATTGATTCCAGTAACACGCTGGCTTTGTTTTTTTGTTTATTTGTTTGTTTGTTTTTTTCCCCTCCACTTCTGTCTCTATCTGTCTCTTCCTTTTTTTTAATTTTTTATATATTTGAATTACAAACAAGATTGAATTACATGACAATCCCAGGTCCCTTCTCCCTCCCTTCCTCCCCTACCACCCCCCCAACTAAAGCCCTACCTATCACATATCCTTTCTTCTATTCTTCACCTGACTCAACCTTTCTGCTCCCTCATGACCTCTGCATCCTTCCTTTTCTTCCCTTCTCACTCTTGTAGCTTCCTCCCCCCTCTTCCCATGTTCTCAATTTGCTAGGGGATGGTGACCCTTTCCCCTTCTCCAGGGGACAAAGTTTGTCTCTTTTAGGTTTTTTTTTTTTTTTTTTTTTTTTTTTAAACTGCTCTGTGTAGCCCTTGTTGTCCTGGAACTCACTCTGTAGACCAGGCTGGCCTTGAACTCACAGATATCTGCCTGCCTCTGCTTCCCAAGTGCTGGGACGAAAGGTGTGCGCCACCACTGCCTGACTCACAGTGGCTTTTTTTTTGTGTGTGTGGGAAACAAAGTTCATTTATTGCCAGGATGACTGTGCTTTGAGACCTCTGGGAGCAAAGACAACAAGATAAAGGCAGATACATCCTCCAGGAGCAGAAAACTTTGAAAGTTGTGAATCTTAGTGATTATAATCACCCCAGTAATTACTCAGGAAGAACTGTCACAGTCCTCCAGATCTGACCACGATACTGGCCCAGCTAGTTTCAGGAACAGCAGTCACTTCCTCTTTCTTTTCTTTTTTTCTTTTTCTTTTTTTTGTTTTTCGAGACAGGGTTTCTCTGTGGCTTTGGAGCCTGTCCTGGAACTAGTTCTTGTAGATCAGGCTGTTCTTGAACTCACAGAGATCCACCTGCCTCTGCCTCCCAAGTGCTTGGATTAAAGGCGTGTGCCACCACCGCCCAGCTACTTCCTCTTTCTTAAGACATGTCCTATTATTTATTTAGTGCATGCCTTCCTTGCTGGAGTTCAAACTCTGAGTGCCAAAGACAATATGAATGATGCCTTCAATAAATATAAAGCATGAAATAACATTTTATTGGTTTTCCATGATCCAAGAGCTGTATCAAGTGTTTTTTTCATAGCCCTGGGGCTATGAAGTAAGCCTTTCTCTTCTCTCTTCCATACTCACATGGCCTAGATTCTGACCACTTGGAGAAAGAGTTTGTCCTAATCCTATCCTAGGTAGCATGGCTGTGACTTTAGCCAGGGCTGGTCAACTTTCTGGTAACTTGTGGAAGTCAATGCCTCTCTAACACTCAGCAACATGTTCCCTGGTAATGACCCCAGCCTTCACTTATTCAGGCTGTCATTGAAACACCTCATTATGCCCACTCCACTTACTCTCGAACTTTTGGGGATTCCACCAGTAAAAATGCCATCAAACGTTGGCCAGGGCAGCAGGACCACCCACCCAGGAATGGCTCCACCTGAAATAGGATAGGTCTTTCCACAGCAACCACTAATTAAGAAAATATCCTACAGACTCGCCTATAGGCTAGTCTTATGGGGGGGAGGGGCATGAGCATTTTCTCAATTGAGAGTCCCTCTTCCCAAATGATTCTAGCTTGTATTGTCGATATAAAATTAGCCAGCACATTCATGCCAACAACCTCAGCTCCTCCATTATCAGCCTATGACCCAGCACCTGCTTCTTCTTCTTGCTAAGCTCCCTTTCAATGCCAATAGGACAGAACCAATCCCTACAAATTCAAGCATCTTCTAAGAAGGCAACAGTGGGCAAGAGCACTCTGTAAATAACGCTGATCTTACATCAGCACCAACACGAACTGTTGACTCAGGCTTAAATTTCAAATGAGAATATTAGTCTGAAATCCTAGGTGGCCAGGGATTATCCATGGGCTCCGGTGATGAGTTAGGATCCTAAATGCATACTAAGTCAGTATTGATGCCCAGTTCCACGCCAGCACTTACCTTGGGAGGTTTTCTTCTCGATGAAAAGAAAAAAATTCAATAGCCGAGATACAGAAGGTTGTCAACACAATGGCCACATCAGAGGGAAACAATGAAAGAGAAAAAGAAAAGAAAAAAACAAAAACAAATTCAGCAACTTTGTAATGGGATCCGAAAAAAAATCACACGTAACTAACTGCCCACAGCAATAACCTCTCACTGTCCCTCAGAATCTGGGCACATAAAATACACATCTACTCTGCCCTAATAGAATGGATCTAGACATTCATTGAAAAATGTTTTTAATGATTCTAAGAAAGGGTAGGGAAGGAATATGGAGATATAGAAGTATTATAACCATAACTGCACATAGCTAAATTCTTTTAAAACAGTTTTACGTGTAAATTTTCTTCCTGGCTCCCTTATTTCTTTGAGACAGGGTTTCATGTAACCCAGGCTGGCCTTAAACTGGGAATGAGAAGGGATGACCCTGAACTTCTGATCCTCTTGTCTCCACCACCCGAGTGTGAGAAGCACAGGCAGGTACCACTGCAACTGATTTATGTGTTTCTGGGGGTCAAACTTGGGGCTTCGTGCATGACAGGCAAGCACTCTACCACCTGAGCCAGATCTAGGGCCAAACGACCCTGAACACACCCAGTCTCATCCAACTAAGCTAGATCCTCAACCTTATATTTAAATTTTTGTAGCGTAGTATCGGAATACATACATATTTTCCATTGTTAGGTACCTATACTCTTATATATATGAAGATTCAATTTTCAAAAATGTGACTTTAGATGACAAGTTTTATCCATTTCAACACTGAAGAGAAAATTTAAAACAAGTTCTGGCCTTTCTCCAACATCAACCACATAGGACTTTTTCAGTGCTGAAAAATCAAACCCAGGGGTTGGCCTCTGCTAGGAAAATTCTCTACTACTGAGCCACATTACCAGCTCTGAAATGTCTACTTTTGCATGTCAACAACTCAGAAATGACTGAAATTATACTCAAAGAAAATACTGAAAATTGAAGGCATCAAAGTAAGAAAATATGAGGGTGATTGATGTGCTTTGTAAATACTTTCCTTGCATGGGATTTCAGGACCAGACTTTTGATGTCTAGGGTGTTCGATCCTACGATAGATAGTTGTTAGCTTTCCTGATGAAGTTATTCTTGATCAAACTCATAATATCAATTCGTAAATAATTCTCAGGAAATGGGGAGCTTTTCCTATTTGGTCACAGCAATCAGAATCTTGGGGACCAGAAGACTAAGCTGAGGTGTGGTGGCACACACCTCACACCTGTATCCAAGTATTTGAAAGGCACAGAGGTAGGCGGATTGCCACAAGTCTGAAACCAGCCTGGTCTACACAAATTTAAGGGTGGTCAGGACTACAAAGCAAGAATGTGTCTCGAAATGGGGTGGGATAATTAATTTAATTTAAATTCAAGGCAGGAGGCATGCGAATCAAAAGGCACAGGCAAAAATAACATTGTGTTTTCTCCAGCACTAGGTTCAACAATCTTCATGGAACTCTGAGGGCCCTTTGAAAAGTACAGAGCTCAGAAGTGGACAAAAAGGTCCTTGAAGCCACAGACAGGCGGGAAGTTCTACACTTGTGAATGCAAGCAAAGAAAACGGTGACATTCTACTTGGGTTGAAGCTGAAGCATCGTTCTCTTGCAATTTCATGAACTAGCCAGGAGGAAATGGCCTGTATGCTTATTATGCCAATACCACAGGCAACAAGGCACAGTGGGAATTGGGTTCTTTGCATTCTGGTTTTTTTTTTTTTTGTCTGGTCTAACTAGTATCTCCAACTGTTATCAGGACAGTCCCAAAGTCCCAACATACGAGTAAGTCCACCCAACCAAACAAGACAGGCAGTGTGGATGTCACCAGAAAGTTTTTAATTCTAAAAAAAAAAAAAAAAAAAAAAAAAAAGCCAGAAGTTTCATTCTATACCCAAAGCTTGTGTTTTCTGCTGAGAGCTCTTCCTTAAGCAGAGACTGTCTGGATTCATACTCTGTACGGGAGAACAAGAATGAGGGCTGCTGCCTCGCACATTTGATGAAGCCTCTTGTTATATAGCTTTATTTTTTAAAAGTTCTTTAAACCACCCTTTATTTGACATAGGAAAGTCACCTGGGCTATGTTAGGTGGTCACATGCAATAGCATATGCCAAGCTAATAAAATACAGTTGTCCCCAAGTATCCGGGGATCCCCAAATCCACTGATGCTCAATTACTTTACATAAAATGCACAGTGCTTGCATATAACCTAAACATATCTCTCTGTCTACCTAAGCCATCTCTAAACTACCTAATACAATTGCATGCTAGGTAAAGAGGTGTCGCACTGGATTGTTAAGGGAATAATCTTAGTGTTACACAGTTGGTACAGGCACAGTTTTTCCTGGATTTTTATGATCTGCAGTCAGTTGAATCTGACTGAGGACATGGGATCTATTGGGGACCAAACACACAATTTCTCATTTTAGCTATGGTGAACCAATTAACCTAATGAGCTGAGACAACCTAAAGGGAACTTCACGGAGACCTCCAGAGTCGCCGCAGCATGGATCCCGCTACAGTTCCACAATGCTCATGGCTAGCACAAGGAACAGTGTGTTGGTTTGTGGCCAGTGGTACTTAGCTGGCCAAAAATACCCATCTCCTTTCTTCACTGACATTCCAATAGGATTTTTTTTTTTTTTTTTTTGCCTCTTGGAAAAACCAATCTCATATCAGTCTTCTATGAAAAGTACATTCCTGTCACTTGGGAAGACAGGAACTTATCATGGAAAAACAACATAACTCAGCCACTTTCTGTGCTGTGAGGAAGAAGGGCTTAAGAATGAATGCATACTGGCCACAGGGAAAGAGGAGCCACAGACTCACGCGGGGCTGCCCACACTGACTCATTATTTGGTCTAGAAAACAGAAGCTCATTAGAGAAGAAAGCAATCTTCTAGTGCACTATATACTGCACACGATTAACGGATGAGCTTTTCAGAAAGTGTGAATCAGGTGACTAGTAGCCAAGATGCCTGAATCCCCAGAGGTTGCGAAACAAACTGGAAGAGCCAAGCACCTGCTAGCACACTGTTAACTCCCCTTAGGTCACCCGATGTTAATCAGCTATTTTGCTTTGTTGTACACACAGCATCCCCCCTTTAAAAATAATAATCAGTTTTTATTGTTATGTTTCATTTTATATATTATTTCATGTGTCTATGTATAAATCTGAGTGGATGCATGAGTGCAGTGCCAGCAGAGGTCAGAGAGGGAGCCCAGAGCCCTGGAGCCAGAGTTACTTGGGTGTGGGGGAATGAGCACCTATGTGGGCGCTGAGAACTGAACCCGTTCTGTGTAAGAGCAGCAAGTACTCCAACTGCTGAGCCAGCAGTCCATGCCCTGCCAGCTTTTTGCTTGTTTGCTTGTTTGTTTGTTTGTTTTGTGAAATGGTCTTGCTACGTACTACAGGTTTGTCTTGGGCTTGCAATTCTCCCTCTCTGCCTTTCTAGTTCTGGGATTATAGGCATGCACCATCATACTTGGCTTCATAAATGTCCCTTTTATTGTTTGTTCTTCCCGTAAATAAGCTAAGACGTTGGACTCCATAAGGCTTACCTCCTTGACTGGCTTTTGTCAGCTCTTTCCCTGGTGCTAAGGCTAATCACTGACTGCCTGGGGAGACGTCATCCTTCACCCTGCTGTCAACCTGGCTGCTCTGAACACTCTAAGCACACTTGGAAGAAGCTACACTGTAGTCACAGCTGTCTCAAAATGCTCACAAAGCCTTTTCTTCTCTTTTCCATTCTCGATCACAAGCCTAGGTATCCAGCCCTTGGCTTCTCTGGGTCGTATCTATATATCTATAATGTTCACACTGTCGAATCATGAAATCCAGTACAAGACAGATCTTACAATGTTTTGAGTAAGTTTACGACATGTGTAGGGCTCTTTTTATAGCTATTCTGGGCCTCATCTAGCCTCTGCGCAGTGGGTTGGACATCCTTGCTCAGTAGGTCCAGCAACTATTTTCACTCCAGCCAAAAGGAGGGCATTTTCCCTAGGGCCCATAACAAGGCCCAAGATGGAACAAACATGACCCTTTATTTGCATGTAAGATTCTGCTTGTGATTGGTGCAAACAAACTCCTTCATTTGCATGGAGACCCGCATGGATTTCTGCAAAGATGACTGACAACCCCCTTTCTGGCTATTTAAGCAAACTGACTCACTTTTCCAGTCAGCCAGGAGATATCCTCCTATGAAGACCCCCCTGAACTGAAGCATTCAGAGATACTAGGAAAAACTGGGGATGGGGGCACAGCACAAAGGGGACAATGAAGGACGTCAGAGTAGAGGTAAAGAGAGAAAGGGTGAAGGAACTCTGGGCCCCAGGTCCAAGGAGATGCACCTTGAACATTAAGGGTCCCAGGCACTATAACACTATAGCCTCTGCCAACAGCTGATGATACCACATTGTAGGAATGAGCAGAGTTAACACTAGCCGCCTAGAGTGCTAACATTTACCACAGTAACACTGAGGATCTCAACACCTGAGGCCCATTTCAAGAGTTTTTACACTAGAAGGTACCACCCAGTGCTGCTGGCTGCTGCCACCAATCACTGCTGTGGGAAGCCAAGGATTGCAATTATCTGTCAAGTTCTGAGGCCGGTAGTGACTAGAGCCCAGAAGAATAAGCCTCCAACCTAAACATTTAAGACCCGAAAGAATTCTTCCATTGAAGGCTATAAGCTTCTGGGCCTGTCAGTCTAGACTCCAGGCCTTGGCCATTCAAGACTGGGATTGCCAAACTGCAGGAGCTTTGCCTCATCTCCCATGATTGCTATCCAGGTAGATATATCTTAAAGACTCAACCATTGACTAGTAAGAGCTGTATGTCATTCATCTGTGGTTATGAAAAAACATTTTTTCCTTCTTTTGTGTTTTTTGATTCCTTAGACAAGATGTCACTATGTAGACTTTTCTGGCCTTCAACTCAGAGTTCAGCCTG